CCCTACACCGCCCCCTCCCAGCCCCTGGTATCCTCCATTCAACTTTTTGTCTGTATGAATTTGCCTATTCTAGGTGTCTCATAAGTGGAATCATAATATTTGCCCTTTTGAAAGGCATAATTTATTTAGTTTATGTTTAATGTTATAACTGATATTTTTACTACTTCTGTACATTTATCACTTACTATATACTACTTTTTCCTTTTTCTTTTTGTTAATTTGAAAGTTTACTTCCTTTAGTGGTTACTTCCTTATTTCTCTCTCTCAGTCAAAGGCATATGGTATTACTATTAATTAAAAGCAAAATACCTTTTTTTAAACCAAGGTCATACTATTTTCCTTTTACTTTCATTCTGCCTAAGAAGTTGAAATCTTTAGAATATTTTGTACTTGCTGCTTCTCCCATCCCTTCTCTGTCCCCATGAAACTTTTGGAAAGCTTTCCCTTCTTGCCCAGTGGGTGTGGCTCAGTGGTTGAGTGTGGACCCATGCATCAAGAGGTCAACAATTCGATTCCCAGTCAGGGCACATGCCTAGGTTGTGGGCCCAATCTCCACTGGGGTGCATGCAGGAGGCAGCCAAATGTTCTCTCTCATTGATGTTTCTCTCTCTCCCTCTCCCTTTCTCTCTAAAAATCAATAAAGGAAAAAAAAAGAGAAAAGCTTTCACTTCTTTATTCTTTCACTTCTCAACTCCCTGATTTTTCTAATATAGTAAGTATTTAAAAAGAATTTCTCTTATAGCATGTCCCATTTTAAAAGTACTTTGGTTATATATTCCAAGAGAGTGTTTTATTACCATTCAGACTTAACTTCATATGTATATTGCTCACTATTGCTTTTTTCTTTTTATGTTGAAGCGTCATTTGATATAACAGATAAAGTACATGAACTATATATGCACCTATAAATGGGTCAATATCAGAAGTAATGTTGAGTGAAAAACTTACTATTTGGGCCCTGGCTGGTTTGGCTCAGCAGTTAGAGCATCGGCCCGCGGACCAGAGAGACCCAGGTTCAGTTCCCACTAACAGCACGTACCTCAGTTGCAGTTTGTCCCCAGCCCTGGTTGGGGTCGTATGGGTGGCAGCCAGTCGATGTGTCTCTCTCACATCGATGTTTCTCTCTCTGTCTCTTTTCCTCACTCTCTCCCTCCAACTCTATCAGAAGATAAATGCTAAAATGTACTTGGGTGAGGATAAAAAAATTCTATAAAGTTTAGAAATCCTCATAACATGTTGTAAAACTTGGAAAAAATAAATTCAGGTTGGTTACTTCTAGGGAGGGATGGATTAGGAAGTAGAACCTGGAGGGCTTGAAGGATATTATCATAATACATTCTTCAAGAATATTATAATATGTTCCTTAAAATGTGTTTGGCCCTGGCCAGTTTGGCTCAGTGGTTAGAGCGTCGGCCTGCGGTCTGGAGAGACCCCGGTTTGGTTCCCGCTAAGGGCACGTACTTCGGTTGCAGTTTGTCCCCGGCCCTGGTTGGTCGTGTGGGTGGCAGCCACTCGATGTGTCCCTTCACATCGATGTTTCTCTCTCTCCCTTCCTCTCTGTCCCTCCCACTCTATCTGTACAAAAAAATGGAAAAATATCCTCGGGTGAGGATAAAAAAAAAAAATGTGTTTGAAAATTGACCAGGAGACTTGACATGTTCTATTGTGTGTGTAGTGTTGTGTTTTGAGTAAGAAAGTATATTGAGGACATTTTTCTCTTATACAGCAACACATGAAATACATGGAAGTTGAGAAAAGGGAGCTAGGGAATTTGTACTAAATCATTATCAAGTTTGATTCTTTTTTGGGTAGGATGTTTTTGGAGCTACTCAACCCTATATCCTTCACCACACCATTCCCTCTTGCCTTATGAGATGCAAATCACATTTAAGCCCTTCTGACATGTACCCAGCAGTGGTCTGAATGTGCAAGGATACTAAAGTAGTCCTACTTCAGAGAGGCCTGGATCTCCTCTGATGAGTGACTTTTGCTCCAAAACTGTCCAACAACTTTGTCAAACTTCCTTAGGACTGCACTGCAATCTGAAATTCTTACTACACAACCTTCCTTTCTACTCTTCTCTGCGAGGATCAGAACAGCATTGTAGCCCTGGCCAGTTTGGCTCAGCGGTTAGAGCGTCGGCCTGTGGTCCTGAGAGGCCTGGGTTCGGTTCCCGTTAAGGGCACGTACTTCGTTTGCAGTTTGTCCCCAGCCCTGGTTGGTCGTGCGGGTGGCAGCCACTCGATGGGTCTCTTTCACGTCGATGTTTCTCTCTCTCTCTTCCTCTTCCTCCCACTCCCTCTGAACAAAAAATGGAAAAATGTCCTCGGGTGAGGATAAAAAAAAAAAAAAGATCAGCATTGTAGGCTTATCCCTTCCCAGCTTCCTGTAGCTCACTTCTCATTTTCCCTCATAAGCATTTACTTCAATAAATCTCTTGCTGTTCTTCTAATTCCATCTGCTTCTTGGAAAACCTACACTAACATGAGTCAGTATATGTAAAGTGTCTGGTACATAGTAAGCAGTCAATTTATATTGGTTTTTGTTATAGTAAACAAGGGATGATGGTGATTTTTTTTTTTTTTTTTATCCTCACCCGAGGATATTTTTCCATTTTTTGTACAGATAGAGTGGGAGGGAGAGAGAGGAAGGGAGAGAGAGAGAGAAACATCGACGTAAAAGGACACATCGAGTGGCTGCCACCCGCACGACCAACCAGGGCCGGGGACAAACTGCAACCGAAGTACGTGCCCTTAGCGGGAACCGAGCCCGGGTCTCTCCGGACCGCAGGCCGACGCTCTAACCGCTGAGCCAAACTGGCCTGGGCGGGATGATGGTGATTTTGAATATGGTAGTGGTAACGGATGGAAGTATCCAAATTAGAGCGACATTTAAGTAATGGGTACAATAGGACTGTGATTGAACGTGGGACCTAAAATAAGGTTAGTTTGCCTAATTTCTTGCTTATCACTCCCCACTTAACACACTGACCACATTGATTTGTTTATAGTTCACTGCAAACACCATAATAATCCATAATTCTTTATTCATTGTTATTTCTTCATAAAATATTCTTCTACCACCCTCTTACACCTTGTGTTTATATGCATAGTAGTTGTAAACGTATTGAATTATAATCAATCTTTTTGTATCAGTTTCTTTTTTCAACTCTAGATTCCTTTAGTCATGAGGTGAGATTGCAGCCATGTATATATAGGGGTCAATTAACCATTTTGTACTTTAATCCTTTAAAGAGCAGTGGAAAACAGTTGGAGGATTTTAAATGTGGAGGTAATATGATGTGATTTTTTAATTTTATAAAGATTGCTTCAAGTATTGTTTGTTGGGTGGATTGGAGGAGTACAAGGGTAAATTTGGGGAGGTGCTTTGGTGTGAACCTTGGAGCTCAGTTGCCTGGTTCTACCATATACTGGCTGTGTAATCTTGGGACTATTACTTGGGAATGTTCTTTAATCTTTCATTGCCTCAGTTTCCATATCTGTAAAATGACGATAACAGTAGTACTGCTTCAGAGTTGCTGTGAAGGATAAATGAGTTAAAACAGCTTAGAATAGAATGTGGCACATATTAAGCAGTCAGATGTTAACTATTATGTTGTAATTTAGCAAATGTTTATGTGCTTACTGCATCCCAGGCACTGGGCCAGATGCCACTATTAGCTGAATTTAACAAATGACAAAAGCAAGTTCAAATTAATATGCAGACAAAGCTTTGGGTTATAATGATATTCCTAAGAATCTGACTGTAAAACAAACTAATTTGGTCATTGTTATAATGTTACAGTTTCTGAGATGTTATATTTAGATTTCTTTGACATTTATTATAGCAGGGACTCCAGAAGGTACTGAATGAGTCACTGGGGAGTGTTTTTTGAATAAAAGCATTCTCAATATAAGACTACCCTTGTGTTATGTTTCCCTGATCTGCATTATTAAATATTAATAAATTTAATATTAAATATATTTCTGTAATGAATGTCCTTGGGGTAAAATATGTCAACTTTATAAGTTTAGAGTTTTTATATGCCAGTTTATGAGAGCTTTTGTTTTGTATTTTTTAAATAAAGGAGACTAATTAATGTGTAAATGTAATGAATGTATAGGAGATTTTCTGTAATGGGATTTAAATTACTACTTTTTTCTAAAAGATGGACTAGTTTACATATATTATGTTAAAGAATTACTAAGATTTTTTAAAATGTTTATACTGATTTTAGAGAGAGGAAGAAAGAGAGAGAAACATTGATCAACTGCCTCTTGCACACTCCCTACAGGGGATTGAGCCTGCAACCCCGGCATGTGCCCTGACTGGGAATTGAACCGGCAACCTTTTGATGCATGGGATGACGCTCAGATAACTGAGCCACACCAAACCAGCCAGAGCAGGAATTAATAGGATTTATACTTGGTTTGTACAAGAAAATATTAATAGTAGTTCACTTTGGGGAATGTGATTATACTTTTATAGTTAAAAATATTTATGCAGCCCTGGCTGGGTTGCTCAGTTAGTTGGAGCATCATCTCATACATCAAAAGGTTTCAGGTTCACTTCCCAATCAGGGTACACACATAGGTTTCAGTTCAATCCCCAGTCTGGGCATCTACAGGAGGCAACCCATTGATATTTCTCTCTCACATCAATGTTTCTCCCTCCCTCTCTCTTTCACCCCCCCCTCCCTTTTCTTCTCTCTATAAGAAAATCAGTAAAGGTGTCCTCAGGGAGGATAAAAATATATATATATTATGCAATAATTAGCAAAGATTTAAAGAAAACAGTGAATGACAAAGAAATAAAAATATAAACAAATGAATGTGTGAGACAATGTACCAAAAAATGCTTGGTTCATATGAATGGATTCAAGCACTTTTAGCTTGGTCTAGCATGGTCCGTGGAAACTGTATTAAAACAGAACTTAATAAGAGTTTTGTCTTTGTTCTTGTTCCAGTCTTAATGTTTGTTTACCCGCTTTGTTTCTATAGGGATGTGCATGCAGTCTGTCTCTGGGATGATAAAGGCCCAGCAAAAATTCATCAAGCTTTAAAAGAAGATATTCTTGAGTTTATTAAGCAAGCACAGGCAGTAAGTTCTGCATCTTTATATTACATTTGTTTTAAGGTTTTACTCAAAGAATGTTATAAGAAATATTTTTTAATTGTAGGACATTCTGAAGTAATCTTAATTATTACATTGACTCTTGACATTTTGATAAATTTTTTAATGAAATGATTACCATTTATTTTCCCCCCCCTCAGTGACATTTTTTTTAAGACAGTACATTATTATCCTCAATTAAAAGAGGATAATAAAACAACACATAAACAAAACAAAGTCATAGACACAGACAACAGTATGGTGGTTACCAGAGGGAAAGGTGGGTGGGGAAGGTTGAAAATGGTAAAGCGGGTCAAGTATATGCTGACAGAAGGAGACTAAACTTTGGGTGGTGAGCACACAATGCAATAGACAGATAATGTATTATAGAATTGTACATTTGAAACTTATATAAAGATTAACCAATGTCACCCCAGTAAATTTACATTTTGAAAAAAAAAGAATTCAGTTTTTTGTTTGTTTTGGTACATGCCACTAGCGGAAACCATACCGGGGACTCTCTGGTCCGCAGGCCGACGCTCAAACTGCTGAGCCAAACCAGCCAGGGCAACAAATTCAGTTTTTAATAGGTCCTTTAGATGTCCCCCCTACCATTTATTTTTGGCGATATGTCAGCCCACCCACATAAATCTTTTATTTATTTATTTATTTTTTATCCTTACCCGAGGACAGTTTTTTCATTTTTTTTTTTTCAGATAGAGTGAGAGGGAGAGAGAGGAAGAGAGAGAAATAGAGAAACATCGACGTGAAAGGGACACATTGTGTGGCTGCCACCCACATGACCAACCAGGGCCGGGGACAAACTGCAACCGAGGTACATGCCCTTAGCGGGAACCGAACCTGGGTCTCTCCGGACCGCAGGCCGAACGCTCTAACCGCTGAGCCAAACCTGCCAGGGCACATAAATCATTTTTGTTTTTCCTCACGACTACTACCTCTTTTCAAGCTGACACTCGTTTTCTTCAGATTCCATGCATGTTTCAAATGGCAAGACTTTTTTTTTTATGGGTGAATAATATTTCATTGTTTATACATACCACATTTTCTTTACCCATTCATCTATCTATGGACATTTAGGTTGTTTTCATATCTTGACTATTGTAAATAATACTGCAATGAACGTGGGGTGCATTTAGGCCTCTCTCAGTTTCCACGGGGGTTTGATTCAAGGACCTCGCAGTAGATACCAGAATTCATGGATGCTCAAGTTCCTTAGTCAGTCCTTTGTATCTGTGGGTTCTGCATCTACAGATTCAACCAACTGCAGATGCAGAACCCATGAATACGGATGGGGCTGACCATATATTTTTTCAAATTCGTGTTTTTATTTTCTTTGGATAGATAGCTAGAGGTAGAGTTCCTGGATCATATGGCAGTTCTATTTTTATGTTTTGGGGAACCTCCATACTATTTTCCGTAGTGCCAGCACCAATTTACATTCCTACCAACAGTGCACAAGGGTTCCCTTTTCTCCACATTCTCTTTAGCACTTATTTTTTTGTATTGATAATAGCCATTCAGCCAGGTGTGAAGGGGTATCTACTATGATTTGAGTTATCATTTCCCTGATGATCAGTGATATTGGGCATCTTTTCATGTACCCCTTGGTCATCTGCATGTCTTCTTTGGGAAAAGGTCTATTCAGATCCTCTGCCCATTTTTTATTTTTTTTTATTTTTTTTTTCTTTATTGATTTTAGAGAGAGAGGAAGGGAGAGGGAAAGAGAGAAAGAAACATCTATGAGAGAAAACATTGATTGGCCGCCTCCTGCATGCCCCACACTGGGGATTTGGCCCACAACCTGGTAATGTGCCCTGACTGGGAATTGAACTGGCAACCTCTTAGTCTATGGGTCAACACTCAACCACTGAGCCATACCTACAGGGCCTCTGCTCATTTTTTAATTGGGTTTTTGTTTTGTTTGCTACTAAGTTGTATGAGTTTTTAATCTATTTTAGATATCGAACCTTATCAGATATGATTTGCAAATATTCTCTCCCATTCAATAGATTGCCTTTTTATTTTGTTGATACTTTCCTTTGATGTGTAGAAGCTTTTAAGTTTGATGTAGTCCTACTTGTTTATTTTTGCTTTTGGTATCAAATGCAAAAAATCACTACCGACACTAATGTAAAGGAGCTTACCACCTATGTTTCTTTTAGGAGTTTTATAGTCTCAGGTCTTAAATTTCAGTCTTTAATCCATTTAAATTAATTTTTATGTATGGTGGTCAAATTTTATTCTTTTGAATGTGGCTGTCCAATTTTCCAAACACCATTTATTGAAGAGACTGTCTTTTCCCCATTGTAGATTACTTTGAGTTTATGGACATTTTAACAATTATAATTTTTTTTTTTTATCCTCACTCGAGGACATTTTTTCATTTTTTGTTCAGGTAGAATGGGAAGGAGAGAGAGGAAAAGAGAGAGAGAGAGAGAGAGAGAGAGAGAAACATTGACGTGAAAGGGATACATCGAGTGGCTGCCACCCGCACGACCAACCTTGGCCAGGGACAAACTGCAACCAAGGTACGTGCCCTTAGCAGAAACTGGACCTGGGTCTCTCTGGACCGCAGGTCAACGCTCTAACCACTGAGCCAAACCGGCCAGGGTCATTTTAACAATATTAATTCTTCCAATTCATGAGGACAGACTGTCTTTTCATTCTTGTGTCTTTAATTTCTTTCATCTATGTCTTATAATTTTCAGTGTAGGTCTTTCACCTTGCTGGTTAAATTTATTCCTAGGTATTTTATTCTTTTTGATACATTGTAAATGGGATTGTTTTCTTAATTTCTCTTTCTGGTAGTTTGCTATGAAACACAAACAGGCCTGGCTGATGTGGCTCAATGATTGAGTGTTGACCCATGCACCAAGAGGTCTCCAGTTCAATTTCCAGTCAGGTCACATGCCCAGATTATGGGCCTGATCCCAATTGATGTTCTCACTCATCAATGTTTGTATCTCTCCCTTCCTTTCTCTCTAAAATCAATAAAAAAGAAAAAATATTATTTAAAAAAAAAACCACAAACAGTATAGAAACACAACAGATTTGGGGGTGTTTTATTTTATATCTTGCAACTTTACTAAATTTGTTTATTGTAATAGTTTTTTGTGGAGGTGTTAGGATTTTCTATATATAATTACATATCTTGAAATGGTGAGTTCTCCTTCCTTTCTAATTTGGATGCCTTGTATTTCTTTTTCTTGCCTAATTGCTCTGGGTGAGACTTCCAATGTTGTGTTGGGTGGCATTAGTGAGAGTGAACATCCTTTCTTATTCCTGACCTTAGAGGGAAGGCTTTCAGCTTTTACCGTTGAATATGACATTAGGTGTGGACTTGTCACACATGGCCTTTATTATGCTGAGGTATGTTTTCACTATACTCATAAAAAGATGTTGAATTTTGTCAAATGCTTTTTTAGCATCTATCAAAATGATCATATGATTTTTGTCCATTTTGTCCATGTGGTGTTAAACACTTGGATTGATTTGCCAATGTTTACCCATCCTTGCATCACCGGAATAAATTCACTTCATCATGATATGTGAGCCTTTTAATTATAGAGTTTAGTTTGCTGATATTTTCAGGATTTTTGACCTACATGTATCAGGGATATTGGCTTGTGATATTTTTCTCTTGTGACGTTCTTGTCTGGTTTTGGAATCGAGGAAATGCTGGCCTTGTAAAATGAGTTTAGAAGTACTTTCTCTTCTATTTTTTGTAAAAGTTTGGGAAGGATTGGTATTAATTCTACTTTAAATGCTTGATACAATTCACCAGTGAAGCCATTTAGTCCTGGACTTTTGTTTTTGCTTGTTGAAGTTTTTGTTATTAATTGAATCTCCTTACTAGTAATCTGTTCAGATTTTCTGTTTCTTTATGATTCACTCTTGATAGATTGTATGTTTCTAATAATCATCTCTTCTAGGTTACCAAGTTTGTTGGCATATAATGTTCATAGTAGTCTCATGATTCTTTGTATTTCTGTGGTATAAGTTGTAATGTCTCCTCTTTCATTTCTTATTTTATTTGTTTGAGTCCTCTCTCCTTTGTTCTTGGTGACTGCACAAGTTTTTGTGAACATTTTTTGTTCACAAATATGTATAGCAGCATTATTCATGATAGCCAAAAGGTGAAAACAGCCCAAATGTCTGTCAGTGGACAGACATAAAATATGGTACATCCATAAAATGAAACAATATTTAGCCATAAAAAGGAATAAAATACAGATGCATGTATATTGGCACAGGAAGTAAATTAGTGGTTGCTTAGGGCTGAGGAGTGGCAGAAAGGACAGAGAGAAGGGAAGATAAGGTGATAGCTAATGAATACACTTTTTTTAATTGACGTGTTATTGACAGGGAACATTTTTATTAGTTTCAGGTATATAACACAATGATTAGATATATATATTTATCATGAAATGATTATAATGATATGTGAACATATTTTAATTTTCTCTTGGGTATATACGTATGTTTTGATTTCTTTTGGGTATAAGGTAGTTTATACAATAAACAAAATATTTTAAATTTATAGCATAAAAATTTTCTAGTAATCTTTAAAGCACCTGTATTTCATATTGGTACAATTCTTTTTTTTTTTCAGCGAGTACTAAGCCATCAAGATGATACAGCTTTGCTAAAAGCATATATTGTTGAATGGAGAAAATTCTTTACACAGTGTGATATTTTACCGAAGCCTTTTTGTCAACTAGAGATTACTTTATTGGGTAAACAGGGCGGCAATAAAAAATCAAATGTAGAAGACGGTATTGTTCGAAAGGTAAGTTTTCCCTAATATTCTTTAGAAAGGATGATTTGAAGATTTTTAAATGTAATTTAGATACTAAGTGAGTTTTTCTACTTCACATATACAGCTCTTGCTGGATTTTTTTCTTTTTCTTTTTTTTTAATCCTCACCCAACAATATTTTTCCATTGAATTTTATTTTATTTTTTCTTTATTGACTTTAGTGGGAGAGGGAGAGAGAGATAGAAACATCAGTGAGAGGGAACATCGATTGGTTGCCTCCTGCATGCCCCCCACTAAGGATCAGGCCCACAACCTGGGCATGTGCCCTGACCAGGAATCCAACTGGCAACTTCTTGGTACATGGGTCGACGCTCAACCACTGAGCCACACTGGCCAGACTCCATTGAATTTTAAATGGAGTGGAGGGGAGGGAGGGAGAAAGAGAGAGAGAAACATTGATGCAAGAAGGACACATCAATTGGTTGCCTCCCAGATGACCCCGACCAGGACCTGTGATCAAACCTGCAACCCAGATACATGCTCTTGACTGGAAATCGAACCTGAGACCCTTTGGTGTGCGGGCAGATGCTCTATCTGCTGAACCAGACCAGCCAGGGCCTCTTGCTGGGTTTTTATTGATTGATTTGAGAGAGAGAGGGGATGCAGGGGGCCAGGGGACATCCCTTTATTGTTCCACTTATTTATGCATTCATTGGTTGATTGGTATATGTGCCCTGACCTGGGATCAAACCTGAAAACCTGGCTTATTGGGACGATGCTTTAACCAACTGAGCTACTCGGCCAGGGCCATACCAGTGTTTCTGAAATTCAACCCTGGAACTATAGGGGAAATAACATTTTCCATGTATTACCATATTTAATTTTTACAACCTCTTGAAATTTATACTATCATTTTCACTATTTTAGAGATGGAAAAGCAAGTAAATAGTAACAGCTGTAATTCAAATCCAATCATGTTTGATTTTTTTTTATTTTGGTTATGCATATTTTAATCAGTTTCTGATTAAGAATAAGGTCACTCTAGAACTAAATACTGCACACTACACCAAACTTTGTCATAAACAAAAGTAGTGATTTCAAACAGAAGAATATCACTATTAGTGATAATCAATATATATAAATTGTAACTTTTTTTTGTTTTTAAGTTTTTATTGATTGATTTTTATAGAGAGAGGAAGGGAGAGATAGAAACATTATGGGAGAGAACATTGATTGGCCACCTTCTGCATGCCCCCCACTGAGGATTTGGCCCACAACCTGGGTATTTGCCGTGACCAGGAATTGACCAGCTGCCTCTTGGTGTATGGGTTGACGCTCAACCATGGAGCCACACCAGCTGGCTAAATTGTAACTTTTTAAAATAGCCCACAAATTTCACTTATTTGTTCATTTTTATTCACATACCTAAATTTTGATGTTTTGATGTTTGATTCTGAAACACATATTCTTTACTATTATTTACCATGTATTCTTTACCACATTTAATAACACTGCTTCCTTGAAGAATTCAAGTGAATGTAGGCCTAAGAATTTGACTTTTTTTTTTTTAGTGTTTGTACTTAAATTTTTTTTACCCTAGGTCAGCTCTCAAAATGCCTACCCCTATCTTTCCAAGACTCACACTCATTTCAGTCTTAAATCATCTGAACTCCAAACTCCAGATTCATCCCCCAAATAAAAGAAAGTTCTCCATTGCCCCCTGCAAAAAATTTTTTAAATATGTGTATTTATGGTACTTTGTATATTAACGATCAAGATGGATTATGTATTTCTTCTTTTTTCCCAGCTCATGCTTGATACATGGAATGAGTCAATCTTTTCAAATATAAAAAACAGACTCCAAGATAGTGCAATGAAGTTGGTACATGCTGAAAGATTAGGAGAAGCTTTTGATTCTCAACTGGTCATTGGAGTAAGAGAATCCTATGGTATGTTCTGAACTTTTATGATTATAATTTCCTTTCCATGCATATTCTAAGATAATTATAGAGTAGCACTATTAAAATTATGTTTATTAGCATATAGTCACATCTACTTTTAGTGCTAGATGCTTTTATAAGAGTATACAAAAGGTATTAATTCTGTGTTAAAGAAACCTACAAAAATTTATATTTGTATGGTTAATATTCATTTTCTTCATCTCATTTCTTGGCTGATGAATCTATAGCTTATAAGGTAACTGGTTTAATACTTGTATATTTAGGATGTAATTCATTTTACGTATACATTTGTCTCTGATCTTTTCTGTTTCTGCCAATGACATTCTCATTTGTTCTTTCAATCAGATATTCCTCTGACTAGAAAACTCTTCCTCCTCTTTATCTTCTAACTCATCCTCATCCTCTCTTTCCTCATGGAGGCCTTTCCTAATACCTGAACTAAGTTGTATCCTCTCATAGTGCTTTATAGTACCTGTGCCTCCATGTCATAATACTTTAGTGTAATTAACTGTGTTGTTGACATTGTGTCTTTGCTGAATAAGGATGCCTTGCACAAAACAGTTGTCAATAAGAATAATTTTTTATATTAATGAACCTTTAGTTATCTTTGACTTGCTTTCTCCATTGCCCCTCATCTTTCTTTCTTTCTTCCTCTTATTAATTTTTTCTTTCTTTTTGGGGGGTTTATAAAAGTTTATTTGAGCCAAACAGGATACACCTGAAAGGAAGACTTCAACAGACTGAGATAAATGCTTCCCCCTCATATTTCTTTAAGTATCAAATCTAGCCCTGGCTGGTTTTGCTCAGGGGTTAGAGCGTCGGCCTGCAGTCCTGAGAGACCCGGGTTCGGTTCCCGCTAAGGGCGCGTACCTCGGTTGCAGTTTGTCCCCAGCCCTGGTCGGTTGTGCGGGTGGCAGCCACTCGATGTGTTCCTTTCACATCGATGTTTCTCTCTCTCTGTTCCTCTCTCTCCCTCCCACTCTACCTGAACAAAAAATGGAAAAATGTCCTCGGGTGAGGATAAAAAAAAAAAAAGTATCAAATCTAGATTTTCATTAGCCAAGTCCCTGATGTATTCCTTTTTATTTCACCTGCCACCAGTTTGGACTTTTTTAAATTCTACTTCGGGAATTTTGAAACATTCTTCTTAGAGGGATCATGTTATCATTTTACCCATACACTATTCATAAGATTAATCTTGAACTATTTTATTGGTATTCTTCTTACCCAGTTAGTGGCAGACCATGCTAAATTCAGGTTATTTAGCCTGAAATCTGAGGCTCTTCACAACTATTCCTAACTTACCTTTGTCTTCTGTTAACCTTACAGTCCACTCAGACAACCAAGTTATTATACCTTGACTTGACCCTGTACTTTTCTGCTTCTGAGTATTTACTTACTTTAGATAGATCTAGCTATGTAAATCCTAGTCTATTCCTTAAGATTCATTTTAAATCTCATCTCTTTGTACATGGTGTCTTGATCCAGTTAGAAGTTAATGTCTTTCCTATTCAAAAATAAAATAGTCCATGTTCTCTATATTGTCACTTTACTGTTTTGTGCTGTTATCTTTTTAAGTTTTTTTATAAAGAAAATTTTGTCTGATATGTTTTTATGTTCTCTTGAGCATTGTCAGTCTCTTGCACACAATGACTCCTTAATATTTGTTATTTCATTTATCATACTCCAAATACTGATACAAATCATAATTAGAGTAAAATTTTATTTTCTGTTTTTCAGTTAACCTTTGTTCTAATCCTGAGGATAAGCTTCAAATTTATAGGGACAATTTTGAGAAGGCTTACTTGGATTCAACAGAGAGATTTTATAGAACACAGGCACCCTCGTATTTACAACAAAATGGTGTACAGAATTATATGAAATATGTAAGTCAGAACTTAGTATATGTGCTAATTTGAGCTATTCCCTTGATGTTCTTAAAATGATTGCTATTTTGCCTCTGGACAGGCAGATGCTAAATTAAAAGAAGAAGAAAAACGAGCTCTGCGTTATTTAGAAACAAGACGGGAATGTAACTCTGTTGAAGCAGTAAGTAATTTTGTAATTTTATATTCTAGGGTATTCTTTGAAGTACACTAGCCCAGGAATGGCAAATACATAATGCAAGTAACATTATTTATCCTTTCTCTGTCTCTGACCAACATTAATAATTGATTATAGTACTTTCCCAGTGAGCTAAAGCACAACTTTAATAGACACTTTATCTAGAACCCATTGTTTTTCAGAGCTGATGTGCAAAATAAAATTTATTTGCCATCCCTGCTCTAGACTTTATTTAATGTACTTAATCTTTCATCAGTCTCCTTTATTATGTGTTATACATATCTAAAGTTAACATTTAAGTGACATTCATGTGGCAAGTAAAATACCTTCCCTAAAGATACAGTTGATTCTCATTATTCACAGTGATTATGTGCTATAGAGTAGCTGGGAACACTGAATTAGTACCAAATCATTACTACTAGGGGATAGTTCTTATTATGCAGAATGTTTTCTAACTTCATCTTATCATGAGATAAAATATTATTTGATAAGCAAGCATTAGTCTTTTATATTGTTTTATTTATTTTATATTGTAAGTTTCTCATTTAAAAAAACTGATCAGAGGTAGTAGCCATGCAATAATATATATACTGGGTGTTTTCTTTTATATGGAGAATGACCTTAGTGTACCTTAATAAGGGAAAATAATAGCAATAATATTTCCTCCAGTTCCTTTCGGTCTTTGGAGCCTAGGAATTAAATTTAGATTTACATTCAAAGAAGTAACATTTCAGTTTGCCTACAACCAAATATATTTCAACTATGATTATTATTTTTCCTTCTAACTTTTCTTTGGCTTCTTCCATCTTGAATGCTAGTCATGTTTATTACTTTGTTCAGGAGTTGGTTTGGGGTGGATCTTTTTTCCCCCTTGTTTTTGTTTTTGTTTTGTATTGCTTTTCATAATGTGCAGTATATTTCCTCTTTCAAAGGTTAAAATCACTTTCATATTGGCCAGAAAAGGGGCCTAACTTAGTGGTTGTTTATAGAAGTTCGCCATAGAAATTTAAAGCTGACTTGGACTTCATTCAGAAGGCAGGGAAGACCACTGAATGTTTGTTAAACAAGTATGCTATGCTCCAAGTTATTTCTCAGGAAGATTAGTCTAATGACAGTATGAAAGTTTAATTGGAGTGGGGAAGAGCTGGAAATAGGAAGTAGGAAGGAGGTTTTTACAGTAATTCAAGGAAGGTATCAGGAGTACCAAATAGGGTTATAGCAATGGGAATCAAAAGGACAAGGGTAGACAGACAGACTTCCAGGGGTGGAACATAAATCTTAGTAGAAAAGGAGAAAGATATGTTTAGTTAAAGGGATTTGAGTATTTTGAGTTTATTTATGTGCCCATTTCATCTGGGTGGGGAATGTTACAATTTCATAAGAATTGTTCTATTCTTCTACTCTAATTATACAACTTAATTGGAGCATATCCATATTAAATATGGAAATTCAACTATAAAGGTCCAGCTAAGAGAGGGAATAAGAGAGCAAGAAAAACAGAATGAGGAAGGTAGAAATAAACAAATACACATGACAACCTGAATAGAACATTTAAGTCCCCCACTGTACTTTAAAACACACATACACTAGGAAAAAAATAGAAATAGGAGATGTGATTTGCTCTTCCATAGTTACCAAATGTGAGCATCTCACCAGCTGAATGATACCAGAGTTTAAAGATACGCTTTTTGTTATTTTACAACAAAGACACCAAATGCAATATAGCTTGCTTCCAAAGAAATTGTTCTTTATTGAGGATGTAAGAGATCTGTTTGTATGGTTTGTTTTTATTTTGTTTTGATTTTCTGCTCATTTTAAAAAATTAACTGTTCTGATTGAAATATGACAAATATACTGAAAAGTGCAAAAACTCAAGTATATGAGAAGTTAATTATCACAGAGTGAACATATCTGTGAAATCACCAGAAAAAGAATTAGTAGCAGCAAAGGTAAACGTGGTATCACGTCCTCCCATAACCACATCAAAGTTACAACTAAACTACAGAACAACCATCATTCAAAACCACCTGAAATCAAGCTGAATGGAAGTCCTACAACTACGGAACTAAAGAAGCCACATGGAGACTGGTAGGAGGGGCGGAGGCAGACGTGCTGGTCCCACACCCACATGTGGCGGATAAAAATCGGGAGGGACACCTCGGCTGTGAAGGTTGTCCCTGAACTGAGGGGTCCCCGTCCCACACCAGACGCCCAGCTCAGAGTTCCAGTGCCAGGAAGAGAATCCCCATCACTTCTGGCTGTAAAACCAGTGGGAACTAAGGCTGAGGGAGGCTGAGGCTGCTGGAGCCCCCAGGCAGCTCCTCTTAAAAGGCCCACGCATGGACTTAATCAGACTCACTCCTTTTAGACTCCAGTGTGGGGAGGCAGCTTGAAAGGCACCAGAGACATATGGGGAAGAACTGAGTTGTTTGGCATTGGAGCAAGAGCTGGAGAAGCAGCTTTCTCCTGGACATACGTTCCTTTGGTGAGCCCTTCCCTGGGGCGGCAGACAGCCACCATGTCTGAGACTCCAGCAACCTGACTCACACTGGTTGCCCCACCCTAGTGATTCCCTGAGGCTCAGCCCCACCCAACTTTCAGACCCACCCAAGCTGTTGCCACTTGCTTCACCATAGGATTGGCCTGTCTTGGATCCTGCTTCAGGTTTTTCTAAATTCTTTCAAACAAGCAACATCTGGCCTCAGCCAGCCCCATACCTCTCATTAACTAATACATAGAAACAAACACAGGGAGGCAGCCAAAATGAGGAGACAAAGAAACAGGTCCCAAATGAAAGAACAACAAAACTCCAGCGAAAGAACTAAGCGAAATGGACATAAGCAACCTAACAGATGCAGAGTTCAAAACACTGCTCATAAGGATGCTCAGTGAACTTGTGAAAACTTAAATGAACTTAGTAAGGGCCTCAAGAGCATAGAAAGGACCAGTCAGAAATGAAGGATGCATACTCAGAAATAAAGGAGGCACTAACTGAAATAAAGAATAATTTACACAGACTCAATAGTAGAGTAGGTAAAGCCAAGAAGTAAACCATCGATTTGGAATATAAGGAAGCAAAAAACACCCAATCAGAATAGCAAAAAGAATCCAAAAAACTGAGGATAGTGTAAGGAGCCTCTGGGACAACTTCAAGCATGCCAACATTCACATCTTGGGGGTGCCAGAGAAGAGAGAGAACAAGAAATCGAAAACCTATTTGCAACAATAATGGCAGAAAACTTCCCTAACTTGGTGAAGGAAACAGACATACACGTCCAGGAAGCACAGCAAGTCCCAAACAAGGTGAACCCCAAGAGGCCCACACCAAGACACATCATCATCAAAATACAAAAGGTTCAAGACAAAGAGAATTTAAAAGCAGTAACAGAAAAGCAGTTAGTTACCTACAAAGAAATTCCCATAAGACTGTCAGCTGATTTCTCAAAAGAAACTTTGCAGGCCAGAGGGTGTGACAAGAACTATTCAGAGTGATGAAAAGCAAGAACCTACAACCAAGATTACTCTATACTGCAAAGCTGTCATTTAGAATCGATGACCATATAAAGAGTTTTCCAGACAAGGAAAAGCTAAAGGAGTGCATCACCACCAAACCGTTATTATTTGAAATGTTGAAGGGTCTTTTTGAAGAAAAAGATAAAATATATGAACAAACAAAATGACAATGAATACATATCTGTCGACAATGGAATCTACAAACAAAATGAACAAGCAGAACAGAAACATTCTCATAGATACAGAGAACATTTTGTTGGTTGCCAAATGGGAGGGGGGTTGGGGGAATGGGTGAAAAAGGTGAAGGGATTAAGAAGTACATATTGGTTGTTAGACTGACAAACTTCAAAGGGAAGAAATAAACCAAAGAACTTATATGTATATATGCATAACCAATGGACACAGACACCATGTGGGGAAAGGCAGGTGGCGGGGGGAGAAGAGGGGATCAACGGGGAAAATGAGAAACATCTGTAATACATTCAACAATAAAGATAAGTTAAAAAAAAAAAAGATACTGCATTGTACTAAGGCATTCACACCTCAAACACAGTGAAACTGAGCGCCTTCAGCCACCCAAGAAGCATCTGAATGACCTGGAAAAATACCTAACGTTATATCTACTTTGATACTTAATTATTAAATGCAAATTAAAAGTTAAAAAAAGAATTAGTAGCAATTCAGAAACCTTCTATTATGCCCCCTCAGAAGGACTATTGCTATCTTTTTCTTTTTGATTATATCAAAATTTGGTTCAAAGGAGACATTAAGCACCAAAACTTGAGAATGAATTATGACACTGGGAATGTAAGGCTTAATGCAGATGCATTACTATGTTATATATCTCACTGAGCTAAAGCCGTTATACTATACACATAATATTTATTATATGTTTGTTAATTTACAATTTTTGTTTTCAGAAAGAAATAATGTGTTAAAATGATGTTATGCTGGAAGGAACAGTAAACCCAAAAATCACCATGTCCTGGGTTCTAATTTAAAATAAAGTGTAAACACTATTATTTGAGTAGCTAGTAAGAAACAAGTCACTTTCCATACTAAAAACTATTGAAAATAGACTTACTGTCCTAAATTATCAGTCACCAGAACATGTTTTGCTATATCTTAATGCTTTATTGATATTAGTTTTGTCTATACTTACCTATGAAGCTATTCTTATTAATGGAGGACAGTTACATATCAGTTCATATGGAGCTATACAATAATGCACACCAGAATGTAAGATTAAAGTATGTACCATTTTGGCACTTGTGTTTTCCTCTAAAAATTAGCAAATGATTACAGTTTATCAATTACCTTCTTTGAGTTTAGTTAGTATGGGTCAATCTTAATATTCTAAACCTGATTCATTTTCAATATATGCAGAAAAACATTTCTGGACTGTATTCAGTGTAATAGAGCAAGTCTCACCTAGGTAGTACCCATTTGGTAGGCCAGGCCTAATGAAGGTC